AATCAGTTTTTATATCTAAATTGTTTCTTGCATTAAGGCTCGATTTTTTATTATCTGATTAATTTGTGGTTAAGCTTAACTTGATGTTTTATTCAATGACGTCATCATAGATGAAGCCTATCGAATAAAATATCAGATTAAGCCTAATTAAGTTAATGAAAAAAACCTTAAGTATCTAATGGAAAAGTCAGGAAGTCGGGATATTTTTAATTTGATATATATTTAACATTTATTGATATACCACCCCAGTGGAAAATCGCTAACAATACAATGATATTTCGCTTATTGCAATCTGTTTTTGTCTCTGTTTAAATCTAATCGCCTTAAGATATAATTAGAATGATAACACAGGAACACCACTGTCGCCTCTATTTATTACGATTTGATTGAAAACGAATCGATTTTACGCGTTAGAACAATTGGAAAGACTATCGAATTTATTGCGCTAGTAAAGTAATTAACTTGCAGTCGTGATCTGCACATCGTGCGTCTATGTAGCACGACTAATTGATTTGTGTAACAAATTCGATAACATTTTGCAAGAATTAGATAAACCTAGTAACAATGATTCTCACTACTATTTTAAGCGATAAAATTTGTGTACTAGCTAAATAAGAATACATATAATAAAATAATACACTTGCGATTAATTCATATACATACACATATAATACAATTTAAATTTTTTTCTGCAATGACATCATCAGATAGAATCCATTAAAATGAATAAAATTAAATAAATGTCATTGACTTTTAATTAAATTCATAAAATGTGAACATAATGATGTTACATCCCAGAAAACATCAAATTCAGTTGTAATTTTCCATTCAACAGTATAATTGTAATATAACATGTTATATTTTTTACAATTTTATTGTTAAACGGGAAGTTACAACTAACGTATACGTAATTCGGTGTTTGCTGGGATATTATGATAAGAGCTTTTTCCTGTTTTATAACAACTTATTTTATCATTTAAAAGCAGTAAAGTGTTTAAGCTATATTGATATTTAACTCTGAATCTTGTGCGTGACGTAATTTGATGTTTGCTCCTCGTTTCTAAAAAAAACTAAAGTTAAAACTAAAGCACTGTAATTCTTGAACAATTTCTTTTGCATCGTACTATAAAACCTATTACTATCACAATGGTAGTTAGACTAATTTCTAATCGGTCTCCGTAAATTACAAATGTGAACGTGATCATAACTTTTATAAATGATTTCTAATGATCTCTAATCGCTTGCCTTTATGTAAGTTTTTTATAAATTACTGGCAATGACCATAATTTTTACGAAGCATTTACGAGGGCTTTCGAGATGTAAGAGACATTTTCATTTATAAAATATATTTAATCAGTTACAAGTATATATACAAAGATCCAATCTAATAAATATTTTTCGAATGCCCTCATAAAAAAAATCATGAATAAGAATAATTTTAAAATTTGTGCAAATGCGTGTGCTGTTTAAAAAGTTGAATTCTCTTTAAACGAAAATAAAACATGCACACGAGAAAAGAAATTCGACGATTCGTTAAAGTGTTCCAAAAGAAAGCCCTATCTTATCATAATCTTTAACTAGAGGTATTACTTATTGATGTCGTTAATTAGAAACTATGTATGATGATTTACAGATTGGCAGTATGAGATATAATTAATGCATTATTCTGCATAATCACTGTAGTAATGCATTCTGTATTATCACTATAAAGAGTAACAGATTCGAGCCCGAGGAAGGATCTCGCTAATCGATCGTAAGTCTAATTGTGACTTCACTATAAAAAAGTGCTTCCAAGCTCAACAATTGTATCGTTTCTAATATAACCAGTGATATTACGTAACGATTAACTATTTTAATAAACTGCGACATTCTTTTCACGAGCAATATTACGAATGTATATTATTTGGAAGCCATCCCGATATTCCGAGCTTCAACGTATTTCTACACTTAAATAAGTGAAAAATTCTCTCTACGCTGTTTTCATATATCAATAAAAATTATCACAAATTTTAGAAAATAATGCAGTCGCATAAGTTAAAAAATAAAAATTTAAATAATATCCAAAGTTTTTTTACTTACAATAATAATTTTCTTTTTTTTTTCCCCCTAAACCAGTTTAATGAATTTCTTACACGATAAATGATACAACTGGACTGTATAATTATAAGGACTCATATAATTATTTAGCTTCGTCGTAATGAAACGAGATATATAAATATGTAACAGTTATGTAACAGTTATATGCAATGTTTAATTATAATAGGCGTGATAATTAATGCAAATGGATTCGAACGTTGAAATAATTCGCTCGAATATCAGTGGCCTCCGTCTGATAGATCCTGTCGACTATTTTATGCGCATTTACATGACTATCACGTTTACAACGCCGTTAAACGTACATAATGGGAAGGAGACCATCTCCGCGCTCGCTAAAACTGTCCCTCACTTAGTGATTGAGAGAGGAGGAGAGAGATAATGACTAGTAATAATAATACTTCGACAATATTAAAGCCACGCAATTTTTTACAGTATCGTACGATAGATCTAACGTTTTCTAAATCTTAATAAATTGACTAGGTTGTTGCTCAGTTAAATTCATAGCCCCCGTCCCCTTCGATTTTTTCCCCTTCTCTCGTATCTTTTATCGTAATAGATTCGATTTGTTACGCATTCTTTATCCAATCGTCCGATTATTTTCACAGTCAAGGTCCATCTCAAGCGTACATATCCTCCAAAGCAAAAATCAGCGCCGCAATATTAATTAAAGATATGCCTATTAAACGTATTTGTTAATATGCACGCAATCGAGTCAGTGATATGACATTACTTTAACGCTAGTTTCAAAGATTCGGCACAGGGCTATTGCCCGAAAACATCATTGTGTGAATGAAGTATTAATTTTAATTTATTTTGCAATTAATTATCCTTATTTCTTATATACTCTTCATATTAGCTTCGACGGAAATGAATCGTGTTTTAGCCTCTTAAAGTTATATTCTGCAGTCAAAAGATAATATTTTGCAAATTCGGCGATCCTATCAGTTCGTGTGAAAAAATATGAAGTTTCATTAGAACCAATATGATTTCTAAATAATTTGTGTATTCATTACTATTCCGTTATTTCCAAATGATTTACCATTAACGTATATCCAGTGCTTAATATAATGAAGTTTTACCTTTCTAGGAACATTTCACAATTTATTTCAAGAATTTATTACTTAGTATACATAACACAGTTAAAAGTAAATTTCAATTAACTTTGTTTTATATAAGATTATGTTATTCCAATTTATAATTCATACATAGGCATATTTTTTTTAACTATAAAACATCAAACAACGCGCGATCAATTATATTCAAATCAAAATCACGTATCTATGTTCATGAATATTTCTAAGTATTAGTAATTATTTTCATTTTTATATGCTTTTTGAGTATTTTCTTAGGAATTTTTCTGCTTTTCTTTCTTTCAATGAAGAATTGTAATCAGCAAAAATTACTGATTACTACACGAAGAGTGTGTAGAGAAACATTTTTGCAAAAATACTTCGTGCCTTGCAAAAAGTAACAAAAATTTATAAAAAATATACGGCATCCCGTGTGTTTGTACAATTTATGCGCATATAGATATAATCTTTTATTAGGATACGTACAAAAACAAAGAGAGGTGCCAATTTGTGTCCAATGTTTGCTCGTTTGCAATTAAAATAATTTCGACATAGTGTGGGCTGTGGGAAATATAGCAAAGGTTGCTAGAAAAGTTTTAGCTCAATATTTCGAAACGTATGCCCGCGATTCTCGATTTATGTTACAACATTTTACGGTGCATATTGAATATCAATCAATATGCTGGCAGAGATATAACGTATAGGTATTTCCCAAAAAACGTATTTAATTATACATATCTCCATGGCTAGCATTACAATATGTATAAATATACATATATTGACGAGACCATAAGAAGATATATATATATATATATATATATATATAATAAATGCAGTGTATCGTCATCTTCAAATTGAAGTAATCAACATGATTCCTCTCAGACAAATCTGCGTTTATATTTTGAAATAGCAGGACGGTATTAATCGCTCCAATTTAAAAACATACGACACGTTTGTGTGTGCGTGTGTGCCATGTGTGTGTGTGTGTGTGTATATATATATATATATACACACACATATATATATATATATTCTAACGAATGTAAATCCGTTAACTTGGCGAGATAATCGCAACGATTTTGCACTGTTGATCGCGCGCGTTAATGTTGCTAGATTTTTTTCTTTTATTTTAATTATATTCTCCCAATCTCTTATAAAGGCGCCATTAATGTGACAACGCTTGCGGAGTATCGAGTGCTCGGCATAAAAGCAATTTATATACACAAAAGTAATAATTTATATAGTTTTGTATACAATTTTGTTACATTAAATAAGTTCTTTTTAATATAAATTAACGCATCATTAGTTTGAAAAACTGTTAAAAGAAGTTGTTATGGATCGATCACTTTTCTCATTTTTTTACAACTTCCTGTAAGCGTTCGCAGATTAATGGCTGGCATTATATGCACACCTTCATTCCAGGTTCGGTCCTGACACTTAATTGATGGTGATAGCTTCTTGGTTTTTGCTAAATACGATCACAGACAATACAGCGATTCTATATACTCGAGGTACAGCATCTCTATATAAGACGGTATTGGGAAAACAAAAAGATTATAAAGGGAATTTATAAGAGATCACTAAGGAAAAAAAAAATAAGGAGAAAAAGAAAGGGAAGGAACTATCGTCATTCTTGCGTAGAGTCATTTGAATCATGTTTTATAAATTTTTTCTTTACATCTTCGAATTCAAGGGAGATACTTAAGTATGTCCTTCGAATTGAAAAATGTAATACTAACGTTCAAAATTTTTGTATGATCGAACAATTCAAATTGTTTGATCTATTAGTTTAAACCTGTTTACACAGGTCTAATTTGGGACAAACAAAAATTAATTTTTTGTTTGTAACAATTATTATTTTGGCTCTAATGTTTAGCATGGCTCGAACAGCCAAATCTTCGAACTGATCAACCACCAACCTTAAAATCAATCGTTAATTTCAAACTGTCTGAATTTAAAAGCTTGAGCTTCATTTTGACTTATTCAAGCGTAATTTGTTTGAATCACTTGCCTGAGTCTTCATAAGATTTAATATTTAAGTGTTCTCAATTTCCGATGGCTTATCTACGTATGTACGAGACCCTGTGTCTTATACAGATCCAACATAACTCAAGAACTTAGCTACCCCCGCGTACGACCGCGATAAAATGTAAAAACCCATGACGTAAAAAGACCAGGTAAACGCTTGAAATCAGTTTCAAGTTATGACGGCATTTGTGACCGATCAGAAGTTGGTCTCCAAATTTTAATGTAAAGCCGCCATTGGAAATTTGCCACCAGTCAGAAATTTGTCTCAAATTATATTCGTCATGCGCAATATTACACCTGGGCTTTTTACATCCGATAATTTTACATCACGGTAGAATAGAATCCATGGTGGAATCAAGATTCCATCGTGACAAGACCTGCGAAATTTCGCCATTATTAAGTCGTTGATTAGTCGTTGTAGAAACGCACGCGTAACCATAGGGCGTAGCCCTAGCAACCACGCGTGTTCCTAATTCCTGTGAACGCCACCACGGCGAAAGTGCTCGTTCCATCGCTCAGCGAGACGGTACTTCCTCCCGAGGAGGAAAACCGCGCGCGCGATTGATAGTCGCCTCCACGACTATTAATCGCAATCAACGACGCGACCAATCAACGACGGTCCTGGACCCAGCTTGATACGAACCATCGAACGGTGACAGACAATATTTCCAAAGGGGTACGTGTGGATCGTTATCGCGTAATTTTCTGTATAGAGAGCGTATCGGCGAGGGAGACAGTGTGCATTTTTCCGAGAACGACTGAATTTTTCCCAATCGCCTCCCCCCTCCCCCTCC